GTCTATCGGACCTTCGGTCTATCGGACCTTCGGTCTATAGGGATGACCCCGATTGAATAAACTGCGACTGATTTTTCTGCATTCAGGGCTTTTGATGTGGAGCTGCTGTACATAGCACAGACATTGGGTATTCCAATTGGTGAGGTAGCCATAAACTGGAAGGAAATTGATGGTTAATATGATTCCTAAATATTAAAATATATACAGTAAAACTCGCATAAGTCGACGCTTTTGGGACCAGCATATTTGTGTCGACTTGCGAAAATGACAACCTAACATCAACTTATACAATGTATGTAATGTGTGTATACACTGTATTAGCTGCCTTGTGTAGCAGCACATTTGTCGTGCACGTCTGGCAAATTTTCTTGGAACACTTGCTGAAAAAAATACGGTAATTCCGCAAGGCCGTGCTTTGGAACGAACTATAGTTAGTACTGTATAGCAGAATTAATTTTCAGGGAGTCGCACGGACTCCTGCATATGTCAAATCAGGGAGTCCGACAGTAAATCAGGGAGTATTTGACTCGATCCGGACTCGCGTTAATTTCGCACCCTGCATTGGGCTGCATACACTATATACACTATATAATAACTGTATACAGTGGGGAATCTGGGGGTGTGAGAGCTGCGAGCTGGAGAAAAGATACAATGCGTCCAAGCGAACAAATGCGATTCAAACAATCCGTCTGCGACAGCCAGCTCGTGTATTCCCTAGACCGTACACTGCGCAATCGGCATTTCTGATGTTGACTTACAGATGGGAAATTACTGTTGTTTGTATTACACGGGACCTGTCTGAGGGCGTCAACTTGTACATAATGACGGCTTATAAATTTCGACTTAGGTGGGGCTATTCCAATGGATTTACTATGAGAGCGAATCGCGACTTTGAATTCCATGTCGACTTACGCGAATTGACGACTTATAGACGATGTCGACTTACGCGAGTTTTACTGTATAAGTAAATAAATAAATGAATAAATAAATAAATAAATATATCTATATATATATATATATATATATATATATATATATATATATATATATATATATATATATATATAAACTCATTATTATTAGTTTGAAATCTTGCTATAGTGTTTATGTAAAAAATTTATCACCAACAACCATGCAATATTATTTTAATCAATTTACGACTACATATAGGGTTGATGATATTAATGAAGTGCACTCGTGCATGTTGTCCTGCAGGTTCCAAGATGGTGCCAGTGTGGAGTTGGTTACAAATGGGTAGGGATCTCCTTCTGATACGTTTTCGATATTTGATAGGTGCGTGGCAACTAAAAGAGAAAGAACTCTAGGTGCCAGTTTTTATGGTGCCAAGTTGTGTATCATGGTCTTACTGTGCCTTGCCTTCCAGAGTTCATTGCAACGTGTACCAAGCATGTTTGTATTTAAATATTGTTGAGGTAAAGAACTGTATTTTATAGTAATTCATAACATTACATTGTTTACAAAGAGAAGAGAAATAACAGTGTCATAATTGCATTTGATGGCAAGAATTAGGTACCCAAAAAAATGTTCCACAATATACACAATGGCTAAAATATTCAGATTGGCAGGCATGCAGCTATAAATTAATGTTGAGTTGTTCATGCAAGCAGTTGCTTGCAAATTAATTATGTTCAGTGTACCTTTCAGTTATGTTCAGCAGTATGTACATATTTATTTGGATTTTCTACATATCGTGCATTGTTCTAATAAATGTATGTAACACTGATGAGCTGTGATAGATATATTGCTATATATTCACACTGAAGCTGTTATGATATTGGTTTAGTCTGTGATAAGTTACAGCTAGCATTTGATCGTAGTATGAACACTAAATGTGTATCTAGGTATGTCTGTTTTTAAAAATTGTTACTAAACATGCTTTAACATGCACACCTTGTTATAAATATTAACAAGTAAAAAAAAACAATATAGGTCATATAAAGTAATAAATTAACAGTCATCACAGATTTAGTGTATTATTTGTGTATTATTTTTAACTTTGGTTTATTTGCTAGACATGAATAATATGGGTTTGTGATATACATTTATTGAATATATATATATATCTTAATGGCCTTGCCACGAGTACTATGGGATGATAGCACATACCACATAAACAAGCAATTAATTAACAAATTACACAGTATTTACTATGCACTGCGTTGCTTCAATAACTGTTCACATTGGTGTCTACTTGTTACTCTGGTGTCATCACTTTCATACATGGACAGAAGTTCAGCTGCATGAAATCTTAACAAAAAATCGAAACAAACTGATTTGGATTTTTTAGGAAGGCAAGCTCTTTTTCACATTACAGAATTCATCTAAATGCATCAAAGTTATGGTGTCCGAGTAATATCTGTTATCAAGTAAACACCACATGCAGATGCTTAATAGCGTGAATAGATATTGTGATATATGTGTTATATATATATATATATATAGTACATACATACACACATACATATATACATTATGAAGAATTAGCCACCATTGTGAAAAAGAATGTAAACATTAAATATAATTAAGAAGTACATACAAATTGACTACAATCACATAATGTGTATCACAACTCGTTCCAAAAAAACGGCCACACACTTCAATAGCATACTGTAATCTGTATCCTGCAAATTATTTTTAACATGAGTGCAACCATTCATTGCAAAAATGAATAAACATATCTTTTCTGAGTTTATAGTAGATAAAGCAGTACAACCAGATATTTCCAATGAGCAAGGTGTAATTATTTCAGGAGTGAATAAAATCAAACGCTCCTAATCATCTATATAACATAATACTGTAATCCTTTTTCATAAAGAAATGACACCGGTAAACATGACAGCATGTTCCCACACACGTCAGATTGTAGTTCAGGCAGAGGGCGGGGAAGAAAAAGGATGCTCCATTCTGTGAAGCATGGGGTTGCTTGTGCGCTATTGTGCAGCAGTTGCTAGGGAACACATTGGCTTGTCTGAGGAAGTGTGGGGTGAACATGTGTGATCTGATGTCATCACTGACACCAACATATTTATACATTTTTTTCTTAATGGTAACATGCTGTTCCTTAATAAATCAAATGCAGAAAAATAAAAGTGAACATTCTTGGCTATAGCTGCTTTAATCCTGACCTGACATAATTCACGATTATGTTAAAATAAGTTTATGAATGAAATGGCTCAAATATAATTACCTAGTTTAGCTGGGTAACTAAACTACACTTCATAACACAGTTTTATATGAAGTTTACAATTTAATGACATAATAAAAGATCAAGGATTTTTAAGACATAAGAGATCATTGTTGCATCGTAATGCATGACTTATTTGCAAATAAATTACTTAACATTTAATTAACGCTGCAATAACATTCCAACTATGGGCTACATCACTCATTTGATGACGCATTTGACAGTTCCATACGAGGCACCGATGTTACAGGCTACATGTGAAATTGTGTGTTCACAAATGAACACATTCATGGTAATAAATACTCTAGCAAGGACAACGCTGTACAAAATAATGACAAGGATTATAATGGGAACAAGAACAGAAACAATGGCAACTAATTAAGGCAATAGGCTTTACAAGATCCTAACCCTGATCGGGCGCAAGCATGTTCTCATCACTAATGTCAAGTTTCAGCCTTGCATATTCGCTCTGTAAGTACTCTGAGACTTGACTGAGGAATTTCTCGCGCACCCGGCTGAACTCCATGATGTCTGCCGGTTCCTCGGCAAACCAGAACTTGTCGAATTCGTACAGCAAGTAACCTGGAAGGTAGTCAGTGTCCAAGTTACGACCAATTAAAACACTACGAGGTGTGCTATAATAAACAAGCCACAGCAAATAGTAATGGAGCAACGTTCGCAGCGATTTAGATAACGACATATACACAAAAGAGCATTAATACTTGCTTCAACAGCACAGTTTATAAATTCTGATACGTCTGGTCTACAATTTGTTCAGCTAAACATTAATCCAGCTCGAATCTTGACTATTTGGCCTCAAACAATGGCTACGCAATGGTAAGTGTACCACTTACTGTATGTCAGATGAAAGTGTAGAAGTGACGGAGCTCCAATCACAGTGTTGTACATATGATTTTTAAGTGCACCGCAGCACAACAAGTGATAGGCCATACTTGTTATATTGATTCCCACTATTGCGAGAGAATATCTGTAGAAATGTGCACATCTATTAGAATTTATTTGTAAATATTTACAAAAAAATCCATTAATTATGCCGGCTGCTATTGGTATGTGTTATATATATATATATATATATATATAACATGTTATGGGCATGCATACAGAGGCACACACGTTCACACAAATGCAATTGCAGTCCTTGTGTTTTAAGGTGCGCGATCGCGCTCGCGCGCCATCGCGCGCCTCGATTGATCCGGAGAAGTGCGAAAAAACGCGCATCTAAGCATTATCAAAACGCACACCTCGCTTCGTGTTTTATTTTTCATTAATTCAACTTATAAACTCGAAGATAAACGCAAACGGTTGTAAACATCACGAACATTACCGGAAGTTGGTTCACATGTATGTTTATAACGACAGTTGTAACGCTTATACCAACAGCAGTCTTTAACATCAATTCATCCGCTCATCATTTATTTATCGCCGACGAACTTTGCCAATGACCATAGACGAAAGCTTGACGTATCGTTGACTCTGGTATTCTTCCGTTACACACTGAACCGTATACACACCTCTCGAACGTCGTAACTCACAAAGCCTACTGCCTGCGTGGACTGCTTTGCACCCGAACCCACCCAAAACCAAAACCAAATCCGGCCTATCATACGCGAGCCATACGCTAAAAGTCGTCATTCGGGAAGTAATTGTTGGTTGGCCGTTACAACAGTCGCAAATAAACGCTGAAAAATTGAGTGTTGTTCCTTTTTGACTAAACATGCTAAATGTGTAATTCAAGTTATCCACATGTTCAAGAACTGATATTTTGTTAGATGAAATCTAACATGATGATCACCTAAAAAATATGAAAATTAAGAGTACAAATGCAGAGCTAATTTTTATCCCAAAATGCTGGAAATGGCAGTTCATGAAGTCTAGATTAAAAATTTTTCCCCTGCGGGCACGAGAATGCAAATCACACACCTCGGCAAGCCAAGGTGTGTGATTTTTCACTCGCCTGCATTTTCCAAAACACAAGGACTGAATTGTAAACATACTAAAGTGAGTGAAGTGTCAGTTACTACTATATATATGTGTATACATGTATATGGTTATACTCACCGAAACTTGGGGTGATGTGACCGCTGGAGAACGTGACGTGCAGCATTTCTATACTGTGATGCAAAGAACCTGCAATATATGATTTTTAAGTTGATGTTCGATCTATTCTGTAATGGAATTTCCTTTGAAATAAGCAGTCGGCCAGTTCGGCAAAACTATAGTCAATGAGAAAAAACATCACAAATAGCTTTACTATGTACATGTCTTTAAAATTGACGTATGCACGGATGAGTATTATAGATAGATACACTACCTAGTTATTTAAACATATACCTCCTACCAAAAGAGAAATACATTTATTATCAAAAATGACCTAAAGTAGATGCAACCAGCTTACAGCAAATTATGAAGACCCAGCATGCCCATGCCTCGAAAGTCTGTTGCTGGGTCATCTCCTTGAAACCCAATATATGACCATTCCTTGGTAATCCTGCTAGGTAGTTGTCTTTCAGGTACTAGCTTACACCACAGCTGCAACAGCAAGCAAATGTGCATTAGCTGTGAATCAATCCATAAATTTTTCATTCAAGTCACCATATTGCATTACATTTATTATTGATAAATTGCAAACTGATTAAACAATTATTGAATACTAGCTGCGGGTACCCGCTGCGCTGGGTAAAATCGTGCTACTAATTCATACTACTAATAATGGGACACAATAAGAACATTGGGTAAAAATCGACAATAACATTGCACACAATATGAATATTTAGAAATCAGTCTAGTAAGATAATAAGCATGGGAAAAACTGTTACGTATGACCTTTATATGACAGCACAACCCAACTTAGAACCCCTGGAACATAATAGTAATATGGTGTAAATGACAAAAAGTTATTATAACAGCATGTACGAATGGGTTGGACTTTTCATTTGAAAACCTCTTGATAAACAATGTTTTTCGTGTTATTCTCTGGTGGAAATATGTAAAGATTCCTGGCGTCTTGAACTGTTGAGCTCCCCACGTACGGCATGCACGTATGGCACGTACGGCACGTAACAGCATGCAGGGCCCTCGCTACCCACTCGCCAATTCGCCAATGGCGAACAAATTAGTAATCTGGCGATTGAAAGTCTTATTTGGCGAAAAAAGTGACGAACGTAATTTTCCCATAATAAACATGACCCAGCAAACATCGATTCTATTTGATCGTCGAAACAGCAACGTTTCTTTTTGTGTGCCGGCACATTCCTGTGTCATTTCCGATTGCAGCTTTTTCCTCGATTCCGGGAAAGTTTTGCTGTCGCTCCCTCATACCAGCGCAGTGCCCACCCATACATATACAGCAATAACCACACCCACACGACTGAAACAATCAGTGCATTCGCCCCCCCCCCCGAACTTCAATCAATGCCGCCCAGCTAGCAAGCACGAGTGACGAGCCATGATGTGCACAGCCACGGACGTGGGTAACAGGGGTGTCGCGGGCTGCTTTTTTTGTTTTTTTTTCCTTTGGCGTGAATGCGTGAGAATGCGTAGGGCATGCGGGAGCGCGGGAGAATGGGTCCAGATGCGTGAGTCTCCCGCGAAATGCGCAGCGTGAGACTTAGTAGGTCTGCTAACAGAGTAAGATTTAAACTAAAGTGTGAAATTTTATTTTTGGGGTGCATCAAATGCAGTCTAAGACATTCAAATGTTTTAAATTTAGCTGGGGGAGACCCCCAGAACCCCCTCTACCTCTCTCCCTCTGCGTCTGCCTGCAGAATCCACATTCGTGCCTACTGCACGCCTTTGAATCTATCATGTGCGTTTTTCCCCAAACTGGGCATTACCACCGTTGTCTAATTTTCCCTCAGAAGAAACTCTGGGGTTTAAAAAAGGCATGTCTCCACACACGGCACGGCAACGGCGCTGGCAAAAGTCAAATGATTTTTACTACGCCTGTGCGTGCACGTGTGTGTGCGTGCGCGCGTGCGTGCGCGTGCGTGTAGGTGTGTGGTTGTGTGTGTATTGTGTGTAAGGTACTGTAAAAAGTAGTAAAACTGATAAGTACTAACTGGGGAATATAGTCAGCTTTGATGAGCAGCTAATTTTTCTGGTTCAATAGCATCCCGAAGTTACAAAAGTAGTAGAGTATATGCATGTGCTGTGAAAACTCTTCTGTAAACTATTAGTATTACTGTAAATAACGCTGAGAGGGTCTATGTCCCCTGGGGTACTGCCGGAACGTACCCTGGGTACGGTCCGGTATACCGGAACGTACCCTGGTACTATATTATATGCCGGACCGTACCTCGCCTACTCCACTAACGAGTCTAGGGAGTCGCCTACGCCTACTCCCTAACCCAAACCCTAACCCTAACCCTAACCATATCAGCCAGATAGTGACCAGGGTATGTTCTGGTATACCGGACCGTACCCACGGTACGTTCCGGCAGTACCCTGGGGGACATAGACCCTATGAGCGTAAATGCCTATACTGTGTGTATAGTACTGTCTATACTGTACTGCGCGCGCGCGTGCGTACGTGCGTGCGCGTGCGTGCGTGCGTACGTGCGTGCGCGTGCGTGCGAATTGTGCATCAGGTACTGTAAAAAGTAGCTGTTTGTGACCCTACCATCCACAACAGTTGATGTGGAGAGGGGTTTTAGCAGACACAATTTGGTTAAAACAGCTCTGAGAAATCACCTGAAAACAGAAAGTGTTTGTGACATTCTAACCATCAAAATTGAAGGCCCAGAAGAAGAGATGTTTGACTTTGAAAAGTGCTATGTCCAGTGGTGTGCCAAAAAAGAATTGACAATTAGAATGTCTCTGTCAGTCAGTCAGAGTCATGGTGGTGAATCATAGTGTTAGTGTCTCAGTCATAGACAGGTGGTGAATAATAGTTTGTTTGCATTAAATAAGTGTAGTTTTGTACTTCATGCATATAAAAGTTTGTGAAAAAATAAAGAAAAGAAAAATTATTTATCGCCTTTTTGTGTTTATAAAATGTTAGGCTACAGATGTGGCTAACAGGAATCCAAATTGGCTAATGAAAATTAATTCTGGCTAATTGCTTGGCTACAGAAAAAAAAATCCTAGCTAGGGCCCTGAGCATGTACGAATGGGTGGCGCTTCTCATTTCAAAGCCTGTTGATAAACAATGCAGTCGTAACCTCTGAACTGGCTGTGCTCTGTTTTAGCTCGGTGCTTGGTTTCGGTTTCACAATACCAGCAGCTGATGGAATGAGTGATCGATTTTTCTCTGTGGCAGCACTGTACAGTCAGTGCTGACATTGTGTGAAGATTCACGAATTGAGGGGTTTTTCACGGATTTTTCGGTGAGTTTGACGGTTTGGCAGGTTTTTGTCAGCTAGGAACACTCCCCGGGTATAAGAGATGGCCCTGTGAAAATTGCATCCAGATCGCTTGGGCGGTTTGGCCGCCTATAGGGAAGATACATACATACATACATACATATATACGAACTCAAATATATATTAGATCATAAATTATTATGAGAATTGAGCATGTATATTATAGTGCATATATTTTAGCTGAATATGGACATACTGCAGGTACATTATACAAACCTCCATCAGAAGTGTTTCATGAGTTTCATTAAGGGAATCGTACCGCAGTAGCCGGGTCATCTCCACCTCCTTCACCAGTGCTTGGTAAGACCAGATCTGCTCAAGGCATTGCCCAAATCTTAGAGCAAATCTAGGAAAACAGTAATCATTCACGAGTTGTTGCTAAACATGGTGTTTCATTAAAGAAGTAGTAGCTGAGAAATGACCAATATTGCACTGACTGCATGCTGAGGGGAAAAAATATTGCAGGCTAATATTGATTAACAATTAAATAGTGTGAGTATACCCACATTGGATGTGCTTCTTGATTGATGACTTTTAGCTTCATCACCTGTGAAACACACTCCTGCACACTGCCATGTTGCTCTCTCGACAGCACATTTTGTAGTAATGTACTTTTGGAACATCTCAGTGATTTTTCTGAATTGATTAGAGAAAAACAGTAGTCTATAATTTGACAGGTATATATAATACATAATCCAACATATTTCGGTTATCAAACGTTCACTTTTCTTATTAAACATCAACGATTTTGAAAGTAAAGAATTATGGATATAGTAGATGTAAGGGAAATCATAATATTTGACTAAAACTGTTTTTTTATCAATTGAAAATATATATCTGGTTTAACCGTGTGCACATGCTATACTCAGATTTCAAACTATTAATGCAGATGTAACTTCAAATGTCTGGTTAACACTGCCATAAATTCCCTGATAACAAGCAACCTATTACTTCTTTGCAAGCTTGGTAGAGATCATACCAATTCTCATAGTTCTGGGTGCTCCTTCCCGATGGTTGTAACAAATTCGCTGTAATTCACATTTTCCAGTAATTCTCCTTAGGAGCCATTTAAACATGTGCCAGAAGAAATAGCTTAGCCAAGAGGTGGCATAGAACCAGATTGAAGATTTATGTTGAGGTGCCATGGTCGCTCGTGTTACTGGCTAGTTGTGAACTTTTTATCTTCAAGAGAATAGTTGTGTGATCTGAAACAAGGTTACCAATGAGTGAGTTATATAAACTGCATTACAAAGTAGATGAACACACTACTACTACCACTACCACTACTACTATATAGAAAAACAGTATACTGACAGCCCACTGCTTGCTTAAACACTGTTTGAGAAAAAATACCCATTACAAATAGGATTAGTCCTACATTAGCCAAATCTGAGTGCACCAATGAAAACAATATCGACATTCCAACCAGTGGCATGTGCCTACATATTTGACTTAAGTTGTACACCAAATATATGTACATCTAATATTAATACTACTTGTTTGTTTAGATTACTTACATGCGTCTATAGTATATAGTATACCGCACGCCAGTGATGCACACCTGGCACCACACGTACAACGGTAGCCCGACGAGCGACCGATTGTCTCTAACCCTAGCAAGTCCGTTTCTTGGAGCTAGTTCAACGGTACATAAGTCACATACACAATCTTGTATCTTGGCTCCCTCTCTTGTATTTCACAAGACACTCGATTCATCGAAGTGCGGGGATTATCTAGAGAAAAATAAGATTGAACAATGAAACATGATGTATACGTAGTTATATACACCGAGAGTATCATCTGTTTACGGTACACGTAATACTAAAACACGTACACATGACATACGTAAATGTAAATACACATACACGTAATACTCACAGACGTGGAACATTTCACCCGTAACTAGCTCTAGTAACTGTACGCGGGCTATAATTACTAGAGTTAACCCGAAACGTTCTAGCTCTAGTAACTATAGCCCGCGTACAGTTGCCGCTGGGCTATAGAACCAGCCATTAGGGATGCGCGGGACCAACTTAGTCGCGCTAATTCGCGACTATAAAACGTCTGTGGTAGGAATTAATGCCTCTTATCCGAAGTGAATATGCCTTAAGTTATATCAACTACTAAAATTTAACCTCTAACTATCGTTGAAATGGTCTACTTGCGGTATTTCTGGTGAACAAACATTCGATTTGTGAACTTCAAACGGCCATTTTTGGCAGCGCTGCAGCAGGCCAGCAGCGCCAGTGAGCGGGAACTATGTATTTCCGCACGTGGAGGGGTGGGCGAATTGGGTTGGTTGTGGACAAAAACATTGTTGTTGTCAAGTAACAAATTAAGCGATCAAATAAGGTTGTAATATTAGTTTTGTCATAAAAGATGAACAAATTACTATTATTAATTTGTTACTTGACAACAACAATGTTTTTGTCCACAACCAACACAACCCGCCTACCCCTCCACGTGCGGAAATACATAGTTCCCGCTGACTGGCTGGAGTAAGTTGGCCCCAAGCATCGTAATGGCTGGTCCTATAGCCCAGCGGCAACTGTAGTTACTAGAGCTAGTAACGCTGAGAGGGTCTATGTCCACCAGGGTACTGCCGGAATGTACCCTGGTACTATCTAATAATATTAATATGCCGGACCGTACCTCGCCTACTCCACTAACGAGTCTAGGGAGTCGCCTACACCTACTCCCTAACCTTAACCATATCAAATAGTTACCAGGGTACGTTCCAGCAGTACCCTGGGGAGACATAGACCCTATGTCTTTGAGCGCTAGTAACGTACTAGTCCGAGCCGACGCAGACCCTAGTAATGGGGATAAACCCGCACCCTCAGATTAGCAAAGCAGAGTTATAACGTCTGCATTTGCGGTCTAGTAACATACCTACTTACGCAGATGGGGTCGTTGTCGTATCAGGTACTACAGATATGTACCCGAGGTAGTTTTACTTTTAGGTTGTTTAGTATTATGTTTATATTTCTATATGAGGGTATGTTTACAGTTTAGGGTTAGGGTTAAGGTTAGGGCTAGGGTTAGGGTTAGGGTACACTTCTGTAGTACAAGTCTGGTACACTTTGTGTATACATATATGTACCTCGGGTACATATCTCTAGTACCTGATACGACAACGACCGCTTGAGCCCTGGCCTAGGCCTACTTACATTCACATTTACTCTCACTCTGTGACCTGTCTCAGTCACTTTCCAGTTTCGGTTAAACCGTGATGCAAATTGATATATGTCAATCTTGTGTGTAAAACGTATAAACTCAATGTTATAAAATACTATTCGGGATTGTCCCGTAATCCGCATAAAGATAATAAATAAATAACAACATATTTGCTAAGCTAGCCTAAGTAGCTGCCAAAGAAATACACAATTACACGGGCGCCGCCATGTTGGACAAGAGACTATCCGAACCGAAGGTGCCAGGTGCGAACCGAGCTAAGCCGACGTGTGACGAGTGTGACACGCAGCTGATTTAGAACAGCTAACTACGTAGACTACGTATATCATCAGGCCCGTAGCCAGCTTTATATTGGGGGGGGGGCGTTCGTTTTTCAATGTTGGCAATTTGTCGGCAGGGGCGTGTACAGGATTTGTACCAGGGGGGGGGGGGGGTCTAACCGTAACCCAAAGTGTGCGAGCACCGCGAAGGGGGGGTGTGGGGGCCCTCCCAGAAAATGGTTAAAATTCACCCCCTAGATGCGTTTTCTCTGCACGAGCAGGGGGGTCCGGACTCCGGACACCCCGTACACGCCCCTGCGAGGGAGCCAAAGCGACCAGGCGGGGAGCCAAGCGACCCGAGCGGGGGAGGGTGTGGGGAGGGGGGTGTTCACCGTTCACCCTCCCGCACGATGGAGATTTTGCAATTATTACACTAAAAAGAGCGACCTGAGGTAATATTCTTGCAAATTTTCAACAACAAAAAAAAAAATTTTGCTTGGGGGGGAGGCTCGGGGGGGGGGTGTTCGTTCGAACCCCCCGAACCTCCCCTGGCTACGGGCCTGTATCATAGTAGTACATATAACATAGTAGCGACCAATGCAACTACAGAGAACATGTTACTCTCGGACTCGGACTCGGAGTTGCGTGGAATCGCGATATCGATTATATTTTGTCTCATCTTATTATTTCAGGGAGAGGACATTGGGGGGCACAAAAGTGTTATAATAATTATTATATCTATAATTATATTTAACTACTTAGTGAGCACGGCCACGTAGTGCTCGGACTACTGATGAGCCTATAATGCTAAAGTTATGTAGAAGATCAGTGGCTAAATCGCGCCTGGCCATCTATTCTACCGCGCGTTTCATTGTGGTTTGGGGAAATTTTTGGCTCATGCACGCACGCAGTACACGCACGCACGCGCACAGGTGTGTGCTTGCTCTCTGCACGTACGGGTACACGTAGGCCTGCATATACTATGCGCGCACTCGTGTATGCGCGCGCAACGTGTTCGTCTACTAAAAGCGGGGGTACGTGGGCGCAAACATGTATGTACGCACATGCGTGTGCGCGCGAATGCGCCTATGTGCGCGCATGCACACGTGCGTGTACTTACGTAAATATATGTGTAGTTCGGGCGGCGCCACAGGGGGGCAGGAGGGGGGGGCCGTTGGCCCCCATAATCATCTTGCAAGAAAAAAAGAAAGAAGAAGAAGAAGGGAGAAGAAGGAAGAAAAAGAAAAAGGAAAAAGAAAAAAGAAGAAAAGAAAAAGAAGAAAAAAGGAAAAGAAGAAGAAGAAGACAGAAGGAAAAAGAAAAGAAACATATTGCCAAATGTCTTGCAAATGATGGGTAGGGTGGGGGTCACCTCCCCCCCCCCATCATTAGCCAAGAAATGTAGAAGAGAAGAAGATTCTGTGCAAATGATAGGAGGGATCGCCCAGCCAAAATGAGTGATCGTAGCATACGAAGCTGGACGACCACTTTTCATCGAAAATTCGAAAAATTAAGTGTCGAAATTCAATCCATATAAAACCTGTGCTTAATTTGATAATCGATGTCAAGGTGTTATTTCTTGGGAGTCCCAAGTTGGGACCATCATTTGTCTGGATTTGATGCTGTTTCCGGCCGGAAAGGTTATGCGCACACTTGAGGTTGTAACAACTTATAAATTATAATTACAAAGTTGCAGACTTTTTGACCTCTAATAATACTCTTACAATGCTATCTTATTTTACCTCCGCCACGGGTGCGAGGGAGGCTTATGCTGATCGGGCTGTGCCGTCTCGTGTACACGTTGAGCGTGTGTTTGTGTGTAGTGCGTGCGTGCGTGGTGCGTGCGGTGCGTGCGTGCGTGTGTGGTGTGACGCGATTCGATATTAGCCTGCCCGGTGGCCCCGGTCGCGCAGCGCGTCAGCAGCGAGCCAGGCCACAGCCGGCTGCTGCTGACCTGAGCGGCGATCAGAGCTACATGTACGCTGGGCGTATATCGTGCGTATTCGTGTGTGTTCCGTGAGTCGCCTGATGGCGTATAGGCGTATGTCGTGGCGGAGGTATTGCTCTCTCCGCGAGTGCGCTCTGTTCTAGTTTTAGGTTAGTGCGCGCGCGCGTACGCGTGTGTGTGTGAGCGTGTGCGTGCGTAATCTCTCTCCGGCGTACATGTTTTCTCTCCTCTACATAATACAACAATTATTGGTTTCAAGTGCCTACAGCAATAGATTTTTAAAGCAAATCCACTGATTCCCCTCACAGTTCACGGAGACCCCCTTTATTAAATCGTGTTTTCCACGTTTCATAGCATTGATTTTCAACGAATCCTATGTAGATTGCCGCGAGACCCCATTTTCGAAACATAGCCGGTTCCATAGCATACCACATTTCAACAAACATTAGTTCCAGAGACCCACCATTTTCGAGGTCTGCAGTTAGTTCAGAGCCCCCCCGCCTCCATTTTTTAACTTTGCAGTGGCACATCCAGCATACCTACCATGATGTGGGGTGAGCTTCCCCCCCCCCCGGGGTTTTCAATCTCCTTTGGTATATGTTGCTGCTTGGTTCCTGCCACAATTTTTTTTGCTCAGGCAATTGAGCGCTTGATTTAGCTAAACTCGAGAGCCTTCCCCGGACCCCTGCAGGGGCTCTGCCCTGGGACCCACGCCAGGAGGCACTAAGACGGGCCCCTGGGGCCGGATTCATCAAAACGTTATGGCGCAAAAGTGTATACTGCGATACCACAGCCGAGTTTACTACGAAGTACGTACGCAAAGCTCGGTAAGGTGCAGATTCATCAACGCAGCGTAGCAAAACCTGCGTACGCCAAAATGTTGATGAATTCCGGCTTGTAAATCCCACTACGCCATCGCTAGCTGCTGAGCTGTTGAGGGAACGTGCTAGCAAAACCTAATCACAGCTGTGCGAACATACCAGAGGAAACCACTGACGCCTCTCTTGTATGTAACACATATGCGCTCTAGCTGCTCTACAAGGAGTTGTGGGGGATTGTGATAGCTTTGTACCTCATTTTCGTTTGATATGATTTACATGTGTTCAACACTCGATGAAACAAGCCGACGGGTGTGCTGACACGTACCGTGCGTCGTGCGTCGTCGTGTGTGCACGTACACGACGTTTCGCCTGTGCGTGTTGCCTACGTACACGTTCGGTCAGTCGGTGTGACTGCACGCTACACGTGCGCTGCTTGCGTACGTAACGGGCGCGTGCGTCTGTGCGTGTGTACGTACACCGTGCTGCTTGTGTGCACGTACAAGTCGCGTGCGTAGTGCACGTACAAGTGCGCCCGGCAGTGTGCACGCCCCCCCCCCCTACACGGTAACTACAACTCGCTTATAAACGAAAACAATGCCCAAGCACTATGACAAAAAAAGCGTCAAAGGCGCCGGCCTGTCTTGTTATGATATCGGTAATTAATTTAATTATTTTAGTTCGCAGTCAGTAATTTTATAATGTTTTTCTCAATAAAATAAATGCATGCGACGGTATGCTGGAGAAAACACCTGCGGAAATTTTCACGAGTGTGTTTACGGTCCCACCTCGTCAGCTCGTGTAAGTTATGCAATAGGTTTACGTAAATTTTACTTAGATGAATCGCACTATAAACGGCTCGCTTCGCGCGTACGCGCAATCGTCCGAACATTTACTAAAATAGCTGTGTTGATGAATCGCAACTAAGCAACGTCAGATTGCGTACACAAGGATTTACGCAAAATATTTTGCTTACGCAGCTTTGATGAATCCCATGAATCACCCCCTGGACCCCACCCGCAGTGCAGCGCACCCGTATCAGACGTCTACAGTTCCCAGCTGGGCGTGTAGGGGGGGGGGGGGGGGCGGTCCGGACCCCCCCTGCCTCGCTGCAGAGAAACACGATCTGAAGGCGGTCTAATTTCAAAATTTTATGGGAGAGAGCCCTCCAAGACCCCCCCTTCGCGTGCTTCGTGTACACGCACCTGGTTTCGCCCCCCCTAACAAAATACCCTGGCGCCGCCCCTGGTGTAGTTAGATTGACAATTAAGTCGTATTATTTATGCGGTGCGCGTCGCGTCGCGGTTCTTTTCGTTGATCATGTTGGAGTAATTTGAGATAAGTAGGCCCCCTACAGTCAGGGGCGGACTGGCACCTTGTGGGCCCTCGGGAAATACCTGTGATTGGGCCCCGGTCCACTGACCGCGGTCGGGGGTCCGGACTTTGTGAAACTCAAAAGGCCTGCAATATCAGAAAGGTGGAAATCTTGGTGGAACCCTCACCCCCTATGGATTGGAAAAAGTCCTCGGATTTGGGGCCCAATATTTTTCAGACCGACCGATGAAGAAGAAAAACTGAAAAAATGAAAAATTGAAATATAAAAAAAAGAGGGGCCAGTCCGCCCCTGCCTACAGTGACGTTTTAGGTACACTTTTAAGGTGTGACAGCTTGATTTCTTCTAGGGAACGGCGAATTAGCGTTATTTTATGGCATTAGCGCGGCTATGCCATCTGGCTATCATAAGCTATCAGTACGACCTCTAGCTTCGTATCATATGCTTCGTACTGAATAACATTTTTTGCATTGAATTCAAATAAATGAATTACTGCTAAGTTTTAGCCAACCGTATACTAAATCATGATGATAAGCCTTATCGTTATGTGCTAACGAAGTCATGTTAATTTAAAACAAATCTAAAGATTTGTCGAAATTGTAATTAATATATTTGTATATTGTAAATTATTTGTTTATACAAAGTTTATACAAGCTCCTAACAATATCTTTTCATTTCCTTATCTCCAAGCAGCGAACGGATTAAAACAATCGCCGACAACGCGGCAGCATATTTTTTAGGGAGCATACATTTTTTCCCGACGAAGGGGGGGCTCAGCATCCCCGATGGCTGGGTACACCGCTGTACCACCCTGCTAGCTATGGGGCGCCAAGTGTCGCAT